ATGTGTGGAATCTAAATCCATTTGGAAAGCATTAACGACACGAATCTGAAAACAAAAAGAAAAGCCCAAAATTACAAAGAGACAATGGCGTGATTACAGTGAAAATTGTGTTTAGAAACTAAACTAGTACATAAAAAATAACATGCACCAAAATTAAGATACAATAAAAATAAACAGTAAGCTTTAAAAATCATGCAATAGAAAGTGAATAGAAAGCCATGCAGACTAGAAGCAGACTACTGTATATGTTAGTAGCAATATAGGGAATCTGAAAAATAAATTTCAAGCAATAATTCGACTTTAATTATTGAATTCATCATTTGCTCAGACTTGACAAACCGCTTAGTAGTTATATATAATAATATATTTGTGAATGGAAATGTTTTGAATTTTTAATAAAAAGGAATTTATAAATTACAATTGGATCAGTAAATTCCACCACCATTTTAAATAGAGCCATACTCACATCTCTGACTTACTCAAATTTAATATTTATACATTCTTAATTCAATAAACAAGACATAAATTTTGGAGATATCTATTCACAGATTAGTGCAAAAGCAAGAAATTTCAGAGACTCCAATGCTCAATGAATGCAAAATTTGGAAGCTTGCTATTGAAAGTCAACACCCACCTTATTTCATCTTGTTACCCATAGAAATAGGGAATTTTTTTGTCATGTGCTTATGAATTTAATTTTCATATTAAAGCAAATACTAACTAGAAACTTCTGTCACAATACAGATAATTCATGGCAATATGTATTATTTTAGATCATGACAATGCGTATCATTTTAGATCATTGCAATATTGATCATTTTAGGTCATGACAACATGTATCATCTTAAGTCATAACAAAATGTATCATTTTGTAAAAAAAGGTGTTAATCATTGTTGTTACTAAAAATTCTGTTATAAATCTGTGTTATTATATAAAATAAACATATTTTGAAAAGGGTTCTGAGTATAATTATACAGAATAAAACATAAGACATCAGATTTAACTGTATTTATTCATAAAAACCATACTGGCAAAAACATAGAAGTTCAATCATCAACATGAATTATTCAAAGATAGTAGTAAAAAATCTAATAAATCAAAGAAAGTATCCCTTAAAACACAGAAAAATTCATAAAATTAGAACTCAAATCAGCAAATTAATTTGTTTGTAATCGACTTCAGATTGAATATAAAAAAAAAATTTAGATTTACAATGCAAGACATTTCAAAGTTTTTAAGAAGTAAATTCCAAACATTGTCTCAACTGATATTTGTTGTTTTATGACTTGAATAGATTCTATATTCTATATAACAAATCTAATTTAAAAGCAGTTGAACAAAGTAATTTACAGGGTCATTCTAATTTTAAAATATAAAAAAAAAAATGAGCATAAGTGAGTTATTCAAATTTTAATGACACAAATGAGTGGAGAAATCTAAGAACCAACCGTAAAAACTATGTTACAAATATTCTAACAAGTTTTCAAATAACTAAAAGCAATGCAGAAATTGACAAGACATTCTGCTTTGTGCATGGGGAACATGTGTAGGTATCTATATCTACAATAATATATTACAGTATTTATAGGCTTATATTTCTCGTGCAATCTTTTTGTATTTTTGTTGAATCAAGTATTAACAACAATCTTCAATATTTCCATCTTTATCTTTAAGTTACCCAAATATGTCCTATTCTCAATGTATGTACAAATTGTGGTGAAAACACAGGTTACCATTTACTCTTAATTACAGATACAACTAAGATATTAATAAAACAACAAGGTGAATGGAAGATTTCTCATCATTTGTTCTTATGGTTGTACATTTTCATTTCTATCATGACAGATATAAAGTAAGTTTAATATATTAGTCTACTGTAAATTTTGAAATTTGTAATGAAATAAGAAAGGTCTATACGATATTCAAGAACAGTTGTTATGGAAGGTTCTGAATAATAATAATAATAATACATGACGGAATGTTAAATATTTTAGAAAATACATGAGAGAAAATGTATAAAATATGGGATAAATTATATATGAAGCAAGTCTATTATGAGGTCCTACTACAGTTGTTGGCTGATCATTTATCAAATGTGGTTTTTTGCTTGAATTGAATTTGGAATAACATGAAACTACAAAATATTGCATATCACCAGAAAAGAAATTGAGGTTCAAAAAATGACAAATGAAAAATATTACAAAACATGAAATTTACAAAATAAAGAATACTCTTTACATGATGACGTAGCATGATAACATAGCACATTAAGTTGACAACTTCTTTCAAATCATTTTATACTGGTAATAAAAAAAAAACATTGCATCCTGAGATACTCTTAACCAGCAAACCAACTGGTTGACCCACCCCTCTAAATAGTCAGTTAAGCACATCTTTAGCCTTTAAGTTTTCATGAAAATGATCATGGTTAAAAGTTCATCAATTTGAATTTTCATACACGATTACTAAATTTACTGGTGATTTCCAAAAATTTATCAGTAACTAAGAAATCTATGTCAATGAATATATACTATGACAAGCTGAGCCTCAAGATACAATGAATGATACAAGTCTTGCCAAGCTCATGCCGTCTTAACATATTCTAGTGTCCAAACACTGAAAAGCTGGTGAAATATCTACAGACTACCATTAATTTGGTGAATATTGTGAAGAGATTCAACTGTTCCATATATTATACAGCATAACCATGCATAACTGCTAATATGCTGGATTTAAACTCGTAATTTGTCCCAGTAAATACCAAGAATGGAAATGGACAACACAAGGTTGGCTAGACATTTTTACAAATTGAAATTAACAGATGTATACAGAAATTTCCAAGATTACAGAATCATCATCTTTAAATGCCAGATAGCAATATTATTTTCAAATCAAACAGAGTCATCTTTTTCACAATCATAAAATATCAACTCTTCTAAATTCAAAAACATTCTTTTTCATTCAAACTCAATCTTTTTTAACTCAAAAGCTGATCCTGATTTCTGCAACCCTATAGAAGTTGATACTCTGGACTAATTTGGATTAACGAATAATATCTAAAGAGGAGTTTCAGAGTTTTCTTTATTAATATGAACAGCACCATCATTAGCTTCTTGATTTAACGAGGATGATACAGCATATTTTTTAGCTCGATAGTTTTGTAGAGAGTGAAGGCTATGAACTGAAGACAAACTACGACTGTCATAACGGGAATCTAAACTCATGCGGAAAGCGTTTACTACACGAATCTGAAAACAAACAAAAAAGAAAAAAGAAAGATAAATAAATTGGTAACATGAACATGAGAGACATGACAAGGCCATTAAAAATGAGAATGGTGGGGGGGAAACTAAAACACCAGGGTCAATGAAAAAAAAGGAAATCAAAAGCATTATCAATGAAAAAAAAAGGGAAATCTCTACGATAAATCAATTCAACTGAACAGCACTTAACAACTTTTACCGTAATTCATTATTAAATAAATAGAAATCAAAGTAGACAATTTTGTCAAAATCATGGTAGGAAAAATTCTAAATTCCTCTTAAAAAAATATAATGAAAAAACAAAAAGATAACTGAGGTTATGAGTATGAGATAGAAAGAATATCAAAGCCACAATAAAATTTCCAGACAAATGAGATTTACAAAGAATAATTTCAAACTGACACAAGGTGACAAACGTAAAACTATGAGGGAAATGTGCGTAATATTATTTTGATTTCACTTAAATATCATCTGATCAGTTATAAACTGTAACTTCCTAACAAACCAACATTCATCAATTCATAACTTGACACAAATATATACAATTTACAAAACATTCTAATCAAAAATACTTTGGTTTTTTGGCAAAATAAGGAAAAACTGTTATCAATTTGAGCTTAGGAAAAACTTTTAACAAATTAACAGTTTCTATCAACAAAAACAACAACTGACTACAAGAAAATGTGTATATATACAGAGATCATCAACATTTATAATATATATCCTCTCAATTATATCTCAATATAATATATATTATCTCCACTTATCTCAACACATTCAATATATATCATATATATATATATATATATAGAGGAAGATTTCTAGAAGATATTTACAAAGTGATATATAAGATATATATTTTTATATAGTAGTTTCTGTGTGACTAGATGATGAAATATCCGAATGACTTTGAGTTTTTTGTGGGGAAACTTTATGAGCTTTGTTTGTTTGAGCCATAATAGGTGATGGCTGTTTGGAAACTAAAGGAACATTTTCATACGACTGACTTTTAACACGGAAAACAATATCTGTTGGTGGCGTGTGATATTCAGGTGAATGAGGTGATGTTTGTTCTGATGCTGAGGTACGTAAAAATTTATCATGATTAGAAAACATATTGCCCTCTTCATTAATTGTCCGTGGACCATGGTGACTCCGCGAACTTCTGATACTGTGTAGACTGTGAAAACTGTGAACGCTTCTCTTTTCTTCCAAATCTTCGAGTGTGCTTTTAAAAGCTCGTACAACACGAAGCTGAAGATGTAAGATATACGTTTGGCATTACAACAACGCCAAGATATATCAAATACAACAAAAAAGAGAGAGAAAATAACATTCCGCATTTTCTGAAAAATAACTTGTAGTTATTTGAAATATATGTGGACTGAAATATAAGGGTTATTGGGTAAAGAGTTAGTATATATTTAAGGCCAAAATAAAAACCTACACTAAATGTCAATGACAAAAAAAAATGTTGGTTAGTGTTATCTTCATTGGTCAAAAACAGAAGAAAAATAAAAACAAAATCTACAGCTAGAATTAGTTATAAAATTGTCACACAATTGGGAGCCAAATATAGCTATTTAAATAGTCACACAACATGCTTAAAGAACTATCAGAGAGTATATCACACACACTTAATAAAGACTGGTATGGGCAGAAATACTCAGTTATTTCTTAAAAAAAACTGTATCCTTTTTTTATACTATGTGGGTATAAATTATGCATTGACTCAGTCCCAAGCAATATCTTGTAATAGCACCAAATACTATGTTAATGCAAGACCTTTTTTAATGAGATTTTTACTTAAGTCTTGACAATGATTTAAGGAGTTGCTTTTGAGATTATTAATCTGGTTTTATCTGAAAATTCCTATGATATATTTATGCAATTAAATAAGTCTAGAACAGTTAATCAGACAAATTGTTCTTAAGACTGAAATCTGACATGCCAGCAATAAAAAATTTCAAATATAGTATAAACCAACTCTGCAAAATAAATCTTATAGAAATAAAAACCAAAATAAAACAGCAGAGAAAGCAAAATATTGACTAACAAAATTTCTACAAATCAAGTCAAGAGGCAGAGTCTAAAAACCATGAACATAAATTGGAACAAGGAGTCAAAATAGCCTAAGAGAAAATATGTCCCCCAATGACAGATAGAAATATATTGTACTTACAACATAAATATTATGATAAAATAGATATACTTCATTTATAATAAATTTATATGAGATGGAAGAAAGGCCATGCTTAAAAACCAAAAAAAAAAAGCAGAGTATTTTTTTCTTTTAATTTAGTTTTTACTATTTAAGTTATATTTCTGTCCATCTCACATGTAAAAGAAAATATAATTGAGAAGAGGGTTAGAAAAGAACAACCTACCTGCTGTTGTAAACGTGTTAAACCACGGACCCATAAAATCTGTCCTCTGGTATCATTATTAGCTATATCACCATCTATTAAATCTTCATGGTGAATTTCTTCATCATCTTTCATACATGGACATTTGATACTAGGTAATTTATGTGTTGGTATACTTGTAATCAACTGGTAAAATATAAGAAATAATGTTATATTATAAAATGGACATTTAATACTAGGTAATTTATGTGTTGGTATACTTATAATCAAATGGTAAAATATAAGAAATAATGTTATGACATTTGATACTAGGTAATTTATGTGTTGGATACTTGTAATCAACTGGTAAAATATAAGAAATAATGTTATATTATAAAATGGACATTTAATACTAGGTAATTTATGTGTTGGTATACTTATAATCAAATGGTAAAATATAAGAAATAATGTTATGACATTTGATACTAGGTAATTTATGTGTTGGATACTTGTAATCAACTGGTAAAATATAAGAAAAAATGTTATATCATAAAATGACATTTGATAATAGGTAATTTATGTGTTGGTATACTTATAATCAAATGGTAAAATATAAGAAATAATGTTATGACATTTGATACTAGGTAATTTATGTGTTGGTATACTTATAATCAACTGGTAAAATATAAGATATAATGTTATATTATATGATGGACATTTGATAATAGGTAATTTATGTGTTGGTATACTTATAATCAACTGGTAAAATATAAGAAATAATGTTATGACATTTGATACTAGGTAATTTATGTGTTGGTATACTTATAATCAACTGGTAAAATATAAGAAATAATGTTATGACATTTAATACTAGGTAATTTATGTGTTGGTATACTTGTAATCAAATGGTAAAATATAAGAAATAATGTTATATTATAAAATGGACATTTAATACGAGGTAATTTATGTTGGTTGGTATACTTATAATCAACTGGTAAGAAATAATGTTATATTATAAAATGGACATTCGATACTAGGTAATTTATGTGTTGGTATACTTATAATCAACTGGTAAGAAATAATGTTATATTAT